TGCAGACGGTCCGGAGGTTTTTGTGAATGGTGCGTCCGTGCAGACGGTCCGGAGTGTTTTGCTAATGGTGTGTCTATGCAGACGGTCCGGGGTGTTTTGTGATCGGTTGGTCCTTGCAGACGGTCCGGAGTGTTTTGTGATCGATTGGTCCTTGCAGACGGTCCGGAGGTTTTTGTGAATGGTGCGTCCGTGCAGACGGTCCGGAGTGTTTTGCTAATGGTGTGTCTATGCAGACGGTCCGGAGCGTTTTTTGAACGGTTGGTCCGTGCAGACGGTCCGGGTGTTTTGTGATCGGTTGGTCCTTGCAGACGGTCCGGAGTGTTTTGTGATCGGTTGGTCCTTGCAGACGGTCCGGAGGTTTTTGTGAATGGTGCGTCCGTGCAGACGGTCCGGAGTGTTTTGCTAATTGTTTGTCTATGAAGACGGTCCGGAGTGTTTTGTGATCGGCTGGTCCTTGCAGACGGTCCGGAGGGTTTTTTGATCGGGCGGTCTGTATAGACGGTCCGCGTGTTTTGTTAACGGTTGGTCGGCAGTGACGGTCCGAATTGTTCCGGGAAGGTCAGCCGGTACTGATGGCACTTGGGTTCTGTGGACGGCTCTGGGCGGTTTGTAGACGGCTCTGGGTGGCATGTAGACGCCTCTGGGTGGTTTGTAGACGGATCTGGGTGGTTTGTAGACGGATCTGGGTGGCTTGTAGACGGCTCTGGGTGGTTTGTAAATGGCTCTGAGTGCTTTGCAGACTGATAGCTACTGCAGAATGTCCTCGATACTGCCTGAATGAGTGATAGGCCTTGGCAGTTTTTGTTTTCAGGGAAGTGATGACCTCTTGGTTTTGCTATAAACATCTTGTCTAAGTTATGTCGTGAAATAGCATGACGCTGACAAGTAATTTTTCGATACAAAACAATGTTGATAAAATGGCTGAGCTGACCGACTGATAAAATGACGTATGGTGAAACGAGATAACACTGCACTGTGAATGTGAACCTCGCTGTGAACCAACCTCGCTGAATGTGAGGGACCAACCGCACGTTGAATACTTCCAGAACACGTGAGGGCGGTGATGAAGAGCGAAGAGTGAGAAGAAGAGAGGCGGTGAGACACGACCCAAGCACCAGCCAGCCAGTGGCGGAGAGGTCACGCCGGTTCAGGTTGGTGCCAGTCACCCAGCGCGCTGGTGGAGGCGGCGGCTGCAAGGCTTTGTCCGGAGCCTCGTGAATACGGCCGTGTGGTTTTTCAACGAACTGGGCGTTGTTGTTTTCTGGAATCACAGTCAACCCGAGCGACTTTTCGGAGTTGTTGATAGGCTTTGGAATGTGACCGGAAGCTGTGCTCTGGCGAAATAACATCAATCTTACGAGCTAGAGCTTCTACAGATGATTGTTGTTCAATGTTCAACTCAAAGATCATCAGCAAAAGCGCACGGTTTTGATGAAATTCACCTCGTTAATGTTTCTAGCTCGCATCCCCCCGCAAACACGACCTTACACACGGCAACGACCCTACATGCGAACCCGGTAATGCCGTTTGACGTGCTGCGTGTGACCTCCCTTAACCTTTGACATGTTTGCCGCCGCGGCCGACAGGCGGCGCCAGGAGGGTGAGGCGGGTCGCGAGCGGAGCCGACGCCGCGACAAGTCCGGTTCACGTGAGGACGTGTCATCCGGCGGCGGCGGGGGTAGCGGCGGCGGCGGCGGTGGCTGGTTCCGCCGGCGCGTGCGCTCCTCCAGCTCCACGCGGCCCGGCTCGGAGGAGCAGCGCAGCAGCGAGGAGCGGTCGGCCGGCTCGCGCTGGTTCCGCCGGCGCGAGAAGTCCTCCTCCCAGGCGTCCGATTCAGGCTCGGAGGCGCGCGCTGGCCGGCGCGGCAGTCTGCAGGCAGCCGACCGGCCGCTGCTCATGCACACCGAGTGCCGGCAGCGCAGCAGCTCGGACCAGACGGTGGCCGTGCCGGCGCCGCTGCTGACCGGGCCGCAGCCGGCGCCGCGGCGCCTCAGTTCGCCTGAACTCGACGTCAGCGGCGTCATCACGGCCAGCCTTAGGATCCCGGCGGCGGCGGGGGCCGGGCGCGCCGCCTCCGCCCTCGCTGGCGGCGGTGCCGCGCCTGTCGAGCGCATCCCCTACATCGAGGAGTGTCAAACGGTGTCGGGTCGCGACGACGTGTTCGTGGTGCAGGTGGGCGGCGACGCGCGTCGGCGGTGCGACTCGAGCGGCTCCGAGGCGGCCGACGAGCAGGCCATCACGGGCTCGCTGAGCATCCAGCCTCTCAGCAAGTCGGCGTCCGGGATGGTGGGCGAGCAGGGCTTCGTCATAACGTCCGGCGGCGGCGAGGTCGGCCGGCCGCAAGTCAAGGTCACCCAGCCGCCAGCTGGTGACGCCAGCGAAGGCAGTCCGGAAGCACCGCCGCCCGCCTCCCCGCGCCGCTGCCGCCCGCGGCCGGCGGACCACGTCACACACGGCCAGCTGGTGCTGCCGTCTAGCGGCGCGGAGGTGGCGCGCTCTAGGACATCGCCGAACATCACGCATTACACGGTGGTGCCGCCGGCACGGCGGCGCCAGCCATCGGCGGAGCCGGTCGCGCGCCGCACGCGCCGCCCGGTCGGCCGCAGCGTGACGGCCAACGTGTTCGAGCTGCAGGCGTGCGAGAGTGACGCGCCGCAGGTCTGGAAGCGGCGGCAGCTGATCGCCAGCGACACCCAGACTGGCGTGTGACGACTGGCTGGCCGATCGCCGCCAGTACCAGCGTTCTGTGTAAATACCATGGGTGTCGATGTTTTCCAAGTACAACTTTTTGTATCTATCTGTGTATTTTCTCGTATTCAGCCGATGAAAAGGGGACGATGGAGTTGAATGTGCTTCTGGAGGGCAGGTAGGGAGGCCAACCCATGACATAATAGACGAGGCATTACTGTGCGTTATACGCACCACAGCCCTTTTTATTTTCCAGCACCATTTCACATCACTCGGCGCCTGTCGTAGCTGGCTGTTGCAACGTCTCCACATCTAATGAATTGTTTCCATATCGCCACATCGCCTTTCGCTGTCCAATGAAATGAACCATATCGCCTGCACTGGGCTTGCCAATCCTTGCTCTCCTCACGTCGGTCCAGTTTCCGCCTGTCTCAAGTTAATATCTGCACATATTTCGAGTTGACGTCAGAGTACGTCGGTTGGTAGGAGCTAACTACGGACACTGAATGAAAGACTCCCCTCTTTTGCGATTGCCACACATTCTACATATGCTGCGCTAGCACCACGGCAATCACATTGACTACGTTGGCGTGGCCCTAAATCTACCGGGTGGCCGGCATCAAACGACCGGGCTGCGCCGTTTTATGCTGATATGGCAATGTTCCAGTTGATGCTGCAGTTGACGGCCAACAGTGTCCAGTGACAGCACAGGCAGTCGTTGGCGCCAGGGACAGAATGATTGATGCTTTCAGTTTGGGATCACACAACCAGAGAACCTTTACAGCCTGGTGCTATCTGTAGTAACGCCAACTCTCCTTCCATTTATTAGGCGGATGCAAAGAATGCGAAAAGCGAAGAAGCGTCGCAGATCACTGATTTTCTCACATGAAGCAAAATGGCGTTGATGGAGTGACAATGATTTCCGAATCAAGCCTATGCAATAAACCCCCTTTTATTCAAGAGATCACCGTGCATAAGCCTGGCATGCTTCATTCTGCCGCGAATGCATCCTCTCAACACCTTTCTTAAACATGTATTTCGGTGACATAAAAACGGATCATATTCAGCTGGTAGACGACACTTAAAAAACTCATATATCTTGCAAAGCACAACAATTAAAGCCCTCTTGGGACCGTTTGGATGACGTCATGACGGCAGCATTTCGGCACAACTTCCACAACGACGCTTAGCAAAGCTCGCCACATTGCTAGTTCGAGATCAGGAGGCAAAACCCTCCGATGGTGGTGAAAACGCTTCAAAACATGACGTCAGCTCAAAAAATAATACCTACGTACGGATAACTAACGGATGCAAGCGGAACATCACTCATTGGTTTTCCACCGTCAAGATATAATGCCTAGGCTTGAATGACTTAATACACGCAAGCAAAGCACATCGCTTTGCCATCGTCCATCCTGGCCGTGATTTCTACATCGCTCGTGCTGCATACGCATCGGCAAGTAGCGATGGAAAGGCGGACTGGACCTACTGTCACCCCCCCCCCCCCCCCTCCCCCCGCAGGCAGCGCCTCGCTGATACCCCTCCCAGCGCGCGGCCCCGAGCTGTCACCGGCCCGGCCGGCAGCGATGCTCCCCAGGCAGCAGCCAGTGACGGACAGAGGCCGGCCCGGCGCCGGCCACACGACCGAGGGGCGCGCAGCCCCGCACTGTCGGCCCCCACCCCCCCTCCGCCTACAGCACCAGGGCCGTGCGCCGTGTCTGCACCATACCAGCGCCCATCCACCCGTCGCGGCAAGCGCGCCACTGCAGAGCTCGGATCGGGGCCAGCCCGACATCTGACGGGGAACGGAGGTACTACATGACAATACAAGCGACACGGGGGAGAACGCGAATCCGCCGGCCAGAGGCGTCCACGCCACTGGGGCAGTCGGCACGCGGCGCCCGCTATAGGAAGATGTGAGCGGGGCACTAGGCGGTGCCGCCACGGCCTCGCCGGCTGAGCAGCGGCCGCGAGCGGGCAGCGGGCCGGGCCGGCAGCGGAAACCCGCCGGCTGGCGCCGTGCAGCTCCGCGAAGCACCCTCGATCCACGCGCACGGCACGCCGGGCAGCGTTCGCCCGAATCGACCTGATGCCGCTCAGACCGTCCGCCGGTGCGGTCTGACTTCGGCGAGCGCCGAAGCACGCAGCGTCGATGTCTCCCGCTGAGCCAGCACGAACGGGATGGCAGCTGGACCGATCCTAGACCCGCGCAGTCGACCGGGCCGGGTACGCGGTCGGTGGAGGGCGGAGGGCGAGGCTCCCGCCACGGGACGCGGCGCGGACTGGACACGGCTCACCGACGCCGCCCGCCGCTATTCGTCGTCGCTGCCAGCTGCCGGATCCGCTTGGTCTTGCAGCTCCAGCACGTGGGAGATGGGATGGGGCTTGCCGTCCTCCCCGATCCGACACGGCTGGATGAGGCCGAGGCTGAAAACGGGACGGACGCGCGTACAGGCCATGCTCGCGGAGTCTGCCTCAAGACGGCTGGCTGGTCATGCGCTTCCCTCCCCACCTTCCGGCCAGTCGTACGCTTCCCACCCCCCCCCCCCCTCATCCCTTGGCTGGCCAGTCATACGCTTCCCTCCCCGTCCTTACATGAACAAGTCTCGAAGAGTGGAATTACTCGATGACATAACTGCTGTAAGACGAGGTTTAAAATGTGTGTCAAATACACTTTTGATCTCATGCAATCGACGTAGCCTGAGCCAAACGCAAATTAGATAGCGATCATGCAAATGATGTATATCGATAAGGCCGTTTGGGCACTCGATAATGCCATGCGAAACAGTATGGAGTCCCCAGTGATCATGCGCGTGTTTGGCTTCACTCTGAGCCGCGACCACAACCGACGCGCATTCACCGCCGATAAACGACGCCCTGCGGCCGTCCGTTGCGTACGGAGACCGTTCCGTAGCCGTCCGCCAGGCGGCGGCAGCAGCGGCGGCGGCCCGACTGCACACTCACTCAATGACTTGCTGATGAGGTTGGCCAGCTTCTCGGCCTCGTGCTCCTTGCGCTCCTCGGGACATGCCCTCCATGGGGTCGGACTGCTCAGGCTCCACCCGACCCGTGACCGGGTCCATCCTGGCCGGGCAGCAGGGCACCAGTGAGACCCGGGCGTGGCGACGGCAGGGCGCGACCAGACGGGGTCCTGGCCGGACCCACGATGGCCGCCTCCCGAGGCGAGGCCGCGTCGAAACACGTGTGCGTGTGCGTTAACGTTGTTTGGCGCGGCGTCCAAAGCTGACACAACGTGGAGGAAACCGAGACCCACAAACAGGAAATGTGGTTAATAAAATCTACTGTCAGGTACACCACTCGCTAGCTGGAGCTCGCCGCCAGACATCCCGAAGCGGTGGAAAAAACGCGTCCTCGAATATATCGCGACCAATGGAGCCTACCCGCTGCGTTGTGCTCTGAATTCCACCCACCACTCACGGCATCCCGGTCCCGGTACCTGTCCCGGTACTGGGCGTACTCATCCACGTCGTGATCCGGTACTGACCTGTCCCGGTATGACCTCTTTCGACTCCGACTTATCGCACCGCTGACGTCGTTTCCGGTACTGACCTATCCCGGTGCTGGGCGCACTCCTCCGCGCGGTGCCCCGGTGCCGACCTGCCCCGGCGCTGCGCGTATTCATCCACATCGTGATCCGGCACTGACAGGTCCCGGTCTGGGGCGTACTACTCCGTGTGGAGTCCCGGTACTGGCCTGCCTCGGCGCTGGGGCGTACTCCTCCGTGTGGTGTCCCGGTACTGACCTGTCCCGGTGCTCAGCGTACTCCTCCGTGTGGAGTCCCGGCGCTGACCTGTCCCAGTTCTGGGTGTACTCACTCACGTCATGTTCCGGTACTGACCTGTCCCGGTGCTGGGTTAGTACTTCCCTCCGTGCGGTGTCCCGGTACTGATCTGCCCCGATGCTGGGCGTACTTCTCCGTGTGGTGTCCCGATACTGACCTGTCCCGGTGCTGGGCGTACTCCTCCGTGGGATGTTCCCGGTACTGGGCCTGTCCCGGTACTGGGCGTTCTCCCGTGCCGCGTCCCCGTACTGACCTGCCCCGGTGCTGGACGTACTCTCCCGTGCCGTGTCCCCGTACTGACCTGTCCCGGTACTGGACGTACTCGTCCGTGTCGGAAGTCGGAGTCGGAGGAGTAGCCGGCGCTGCGCGGTCCGCACCAGCATGAGGGCCGCGCGCCGCCAGCAGGCCAGCCGCGTTCCCGTAGCCCGTGTACTTGACGAAGCGCCCCACTGTTGACAGTCAAACCAGCGTCACGCCAGGGGCGCGGCGGGCGCGGCGCCCAGATGGATGGGAGAGCTAACACAGCGGTAACCACACCGGCGCCCATCAGGCGGTCCGAGGACGTCAGCTGGACGACAAACGGGACTCCGGCTGGGTCCTGTCCGCGCGGCCAGGTCAGAGACGCACAACTGATAATCACTGACGTCAAACGTGGAAGTGCGGCGTTGAGGCGGGTCGAGACAGTACACAAATGTGACACTTGACCACGAAATCCACAGCCCTGTGCCTCCAGATGCTCCTCAGCCATACCGTCCTCCTTGCACAGGATGAAGAGGGAAGTGAGCGGCCAAGGTCCTTGACCTCTGACACCGGCGGAGGTCATCAGCTTGACCAGCTGACTCTTCAGCGAGTTGCCCTGCTCGGGACGAAGCATAACGTCTCGTCTCGGCGGCAGGGATCTGAAACACGGCCAAACGGTTACAGTGGTTACACAGCCGAAGTTCTCTGCTGGAGGACGCGCCAAGCAAATGCGCATGCTTCGACATGGCCACCACACGCGGTCGGTCCCATCTGAGCGCACAAAGCCGCAGTCAGAAGTGAAATCCTAACAGATGTAACGCCTTCTAAATGCCTCAAGCACACCTGGCGTTCCAGACAGAACTTTAATTGAACCCGTCTCCGCACATCCACGCTTCACCGAAGTCCACTAAACGGGCCGGCAATAAATAAACATTCCATACCTCACCAAACTTGTCTTCAAACTGACAGTCGGCACCTGGTGCCAGCAATGAGCGGCGCCTCAGGACGGCCCACCCCGCCCCCCCTAGTCTCGCTCGACTGGCCCACAGATCACACACCCCGCCCCCACAGTCCACCCCACAGCCAGACGCTGCGGACCGCGCTCGCTCCTCGTCGTCGGCCGGCTCCCAGCCGGCGGCGCCGTCACCTTGACCCTGAAGTAGCGCCGGATGGTGCGGCACGCCTTGCTGGAGTGGCAGAGCAGCAGCAGCACGGGCGTCAGCTGCTCCCGCTGGCTGACGGCCGACTGCGGCTGGCGGCCGGCGCCAGGGCAGGCGTTAGGGTCATGCACGTGCGCGACAGCGGCGGCGGCGGGCGGAGACAGGAGGCGTCACACAGAGCCGCAGGGCGCACTCAGACGCCACAGCTTCTCAGCCGTATCAGGCAGCTGACGCTAGCTCGACGTATTCACGGCAAGGGCAGAACAGACCATTTTGTACGCTCATCAGGACAGCGCGATGCAGCAGAATACAGCAAAGTACGATGTAAGCACAGCATCACACAATGCGGCGCGGTGAAGGCAGGAGCTAAACGCATCACATCACGTTTTAAATGAATGTGACGCACATCACCACGTCCCTTTCCTGAAACGCCGTCGACTGCGTCGGCCATATCGGCGCTCAGGGACCTGGCGCAGGCGGGATTCGAACTCGAGCCCCCACATGGGCGCCCGACGCGCTAGCCACTTGGCCATCACACCACAACCTCACATCACATCACAGCACAGCACAGAACAACATGGTAGGCAACTGACCCCAGCACCACACTGCACGGAGCGCAACAGGGCACAGCACATCCCAGTCCAGCACTGCATGGCACAGCACCCAGTCCAGCACTACACGGCACAGCACACCCCGGTCCAGCACCACACCGCACAGCACACCCCCATCCAGCACCACATGGCAGTGAGCTCACCTGCTGTATCTTGTCAGTGAGGATGCCGAGCACAGCGTCGAGCGCGGCCGTGTCGCCCTCGGCGTCGGCCCGGGCGCCGGCCGTCTCCGGAACCACCAGCGCCGTGTAACAGCTGGACGGCACCGTCGTCAGCACCTGCACCACGTAGCTGAAACACAGACGCACCGTCACCAGCCGCACTCCAGCCTCGGCCGGTCACTCCGCCTGAGCTCGACCTGAACTGTCAGTACGAGCCTCCACAGCTCGCCGGCATACCGTGGTAGGAATGGCATGGTAGTCTGAGTTTTAGGTCCGTAGGGGATGGTTTAGGGTCTTCCTTATGGCACGTATCAGCATTAGTCACGTCGTTTCGGGCGTCTATGCATACAACACAACCAGCAAAATAATGCCAAGCCTAGATTCCGTCACAAGCGTCCACTTGAAAAAAACATCCTTCAGACAGCTGCGGGACATTCCGCAAATACCAAAAATTTCGAAAGAAAGTTTTTCATCGTGCTAACGAGGAGCGGTGTGAGCGTCGAGTACAGCTCCCGGTGTGCCGATAAGCCTGTCTTCGTCTTTCCAGCTCGGTTGATAGAGCATCGAGCGCTCTGGCCAATGTGTGGCAGGCACGGAGGGATGTGTTTCGAAACCCAGCTGGTGCGGCCAGACACTGACGGTCAACTGGCAGTTGACCAAGAGGGCAGCACTGCAACACGGTCGGCCAGGGCGCGGCACTGCGCAGCATGCTAAAATTCGCTGTAAAAAAATTGTCCATAGTATTGGAATTCTCTACGAGGTGGCAGGAACAGAACCTTCGCAACAAGCCACCAGCAGCGAAGACTGCGATGCAAGAGCCATTCCAGCAAAACATGCGGCCAAATTTAGACTACGAAAATCGACGAAAGTTTGACAAAATCCCTAACATGGCGAAAAGCCGTCATATCCTGTATCACAACCGGCATGCAGGCAACGCCAACGCGCCTCCCCCACGCTGCTCTAACCAGACCAGCCGTTCGGTATCGGGAAAGGGATGGGGAAGGGGGTCTCACTTGAGCAGGTCGGCCGGGCTGTGCGGCAGCACCAGGTACTCGCGCAGCACCTCGGTCAGTCGCATCAGGTGGCCCTCGTCCTCCTCGTCGGGCGAGGCAAGCGACACCGAGAGGGCGTACACCGTCTTCAGCACCTCGGAGGCCAGCTCGACGCCCCGCGCCTGCCGCAGTCGTGACAGGCTCACCAGAGCTCAGCCCAGCTGGCCACCGTGGGCACGAAGGTGTGGCACAGCGACGAAGTCACTGTCACTGTACCTCAAATCCTTAAACATGAGCCACATCGCCAGATAGTACAAATTGAGCCCAAGCGACTAGATGCTTCTCAGCCAGTGGTCAAAGGCCGGGAACTTTTGGACAGTCAACGTGGAGGCGCCCAATCAGTTTGATATTGCGAAATGATAAGGCGGAAACATCATTATCCAGAACGATCTTAACACGTCTTGGGTCCCTGAACAACAAAACGCAAACCACAAATCACAAAGTTCTCACAGCTGCGACGGACAGACAACCACAAGCGTATCACAGGATCACGAAGGCAGTGGCCAGGTCTGACCCGCCGCCGGCTGCCCACCCTGACGTCGGCCGGGCCGGCCGGAGCGGCGATGCACGTGCTCAGCAGCAGGTCCAGCACCTCCGTCATGTACGTCAGACCGTGGTAGTCGTGCACCAGCGCTGGCCTGCGTCAAGACGGGCCCCCGGTGAGATAGGGTGGGGAAGCGGACGCGCCGCTGAGAGCGGACATTCGCGGTGGAAGGAAACAGGTTCGGCTGCTCGCTGTCTGTGGGAAATCTGTGATTATGCATGCTGCATGGTACTTGCATGGTCTATACGAATGTCTGTACATTGTTTGCATGGCTCATTTGCTAATACCACGGCTTCATTATGTTGGTTTAATGCCTACTGGTATGGAGAAAAAGGCCCGAGTCACGACTTAAACCACTGCCTTTGTTTCGGACAAGATCTGGCCAAGATTGCATAGACCTACTCAACGACAATCTATCTCGATGGGCTAGACAAAACACGGAAAAATACCTCTTGACGCAAACGTCCAAATTCCTACCGCCATCACAACCATCCAAATCACGCCCAAATCCATGTTAGCTAACACAAACAGCCAGCCGTCAACCTGGTGAGGCTCTACCAACTCCGCAGGAGCTCCGGACAATGCAGGGAAGCCGGCCGGCCGAGCACAGGGTGGCCAGTTGGCCCCACCTGATGTCCGGACACAGGGTGGACAGCCATCCTCCCATCTTATCTCCGGACATAGGGTGGCCAGCCAGTCACTCATCTGACCTCTGGGCACAGGGTGGCCAGCAAGCCTGCTCACCTGACCTCTGGGCACAGGGTGGCCAGTTGGCCTCACCTGATCTCCTGACACAGGGTGGCCAGCCAGCCTCTCATCTGCCCTCTGGGCACAGGGTGGCCTGCTGGCCTCCTCACCTGATCTCCGGGCACAGGGTGGCCAGCAGGAAGAGCAGCCGCACGGAGAACAGCTTGACGCCGTGCGTGAGCTCGGGCTCGCGGAAGGCGCGCAGGCGCAGCGTCAGGCCCTGCAGGCAGGCGGCGCTCTGGGCGGCCAGCTGGCGCGCCGCCCGGCTCTGGTGGCTCAGGTTACACAGGCACTTGACCGCCTCCTCCACCACTGCGGCCGGCAGATGGCGTCAGCACACGGCCGGGCCGTCGCCTGATGCTCATGAGGCGCTACATGCTGGCTTTGTGAGAGTCGGTTCCCTCGAGACGCAGCGACTGACAGCACGTCACCGCCGTTACGTCAAGCGCCTACGCTGCCCTAGCGTCGCTGGGGTTACCCGTCACGCACCCGTGTAGTCGGGGTTGTTGTCGGGCCGCTCCTCCAGGCTGTCTTGTGTCTGTAGTCCGGCCAGCACCACCAGCCGCTCCACGCGCTGCCGGCTGACCAGCCGGTCCAGGCCATCCTTGTCCCGGCTGCCGGCACGCCGCCCGCCGGTCACCCCTAGCACCGCCACAGCAGCATCGGCAGCACACGGAGAAACGGTGGCGGCACCTGGGACGCGCCTGGACAGATTCCGCTGGTGCTCGCCGAGGAGTATGCCTTTCCACGACATAGGGCGATGGCGTATGAGACACTGCGTCGGCGTGGCCGTGGGTTTGCGCTGTGCGACAGACGCCGCCTCAGCCTGCATGAGGGACTCACGTGAGGATGCGGAGCGACCGAGCGCCGCCACGAGGACGGCGGCGCCGGCGCCGTCAGCTCCAGCCA